TTATTCACTATTCTTCCTTCTACCTAGAATATATTAGTCTTATTCACTATTCTTCCTTCTACCTAGAATATATTAGTCTTATTCACTATTCTTCCTTCTACCTAGAATATTTTAGTCTTATTCACTATTCTTCCTTCTGACTAAAATAGTTAGTATTTGTTGTTGGAACATTTTGTGGAATGACAGTTTATAAATAACAAAATATTAGATAGGGTATTTGATTATTTAATGTCCTTTCTTTGAAATATTCTGTCTACGGTAATAACCTGAAAACTCTGGAGAAGGAATTTAACTCAAGACATCAGTATTTAGGCCAATGAACATGAAACACAACAATAGTGGAGTGTAAACAGGCACATTTTACTTAAGAATGTCGTCTTCCTATTCTAAAGCTTTCTGATTATCACTGTATAAAATGTCCATCTATGTAGTATCCTGTACAGTATTTAGAGTGTACAGAAAATTTGGAAAGATAGTTGATAAATAAAGTTCTTATTATTGTACAGTTTAAAATGAAATGTTTGTTTTGTTCCTATTGAAAATGTGCATCAAATCCTAATATTTCAACGATATTCTCTAAATGTTTGCTACAGGGTGTACCAAAAAAACATTGGAATTAAATGACGACTTCTATATCGTCTTTGTTTCAAGCGGGATTATTTCGTAAACATGATTTCGTAGTATCACAGTTAAAACATTTAAGTCGTCTCTCAATTCCCATGTTTATTGGGACACCCTTGTCTCTATAATTATACTGTGTACATACAGTTTAATGAAAGTACAGTTGTGAATAATAGTGATGTACAGTTCTTAATGATAGTACAGTTTCAAATAACATGAACATAAAGTCCTTATATTTGATTTTTTACCACAAACTAAAATTTTCTAATTCATATATCTGTGCAACCTGACTAAGTAAACCTTTAATATTTCAATTTTAATAATAGTTTAAATATCATAGGTCTTAGATTAGGGTATTATGAGCTCAGAGTTTGTGGCAAAATCTGAGTTCCTTTACCTGACTACCCCCGTCTCCTGGAATCATGATTACAGGATGAAAGGTACCATCTACTTGATAGATAATTAGACAAAGTAAACATATCAGATCTCTAATCAACATCTGTAATAGAAATTATAAATTTATTTCTATCTTTTATTAGTCCAAGAAAGATACACTAGGATCCTTCATGGTTTACATTTAAGTGTACTGCAGTGTCTGGGAGAAATGTAAACTCTGAGCTCGAAACTTAAGACTAAGAGTATCGTAATGAAGCCCACGGAACCCCGGTTTCATGAATGGGGTGAGGCAGTTTTGTATATAACAATATATTTGGTAAAATATTATTTAATGCGCTTTCTTCAATTTCTCTTTTTGCCTTCTGATTTCTTAAAAGACCCCAAAAAGGAAACTCGAGAGTTTCGTTCAACGATATATTCTTTCTCAAACTGGCTCAGTGCTACTCCGGCAGAGTGTTGTTAGTATTCCTGCTAGACACTGCTGTACGCTGAAACTAATTAAAGTTAGTCACAGAAGTACACTTAAAAATAAAAATTTTGTGCTTCCTTGTTTATATTTTTTGAAGAAGATGTAATTCATCGCATATCAACCTTTGACATTTTTTGGTTATCATTAGAAAATAAATTTTTTATTTTAAAAAAAAATCTTTAAAAACAACAAAAAAATCTAGTAATACAATTCAATTCATACTCAATTGATATTTTTAGTTATTTTAAGTAAGCATTGAAAGAGGGGAGAAAGGCCAGTCACAACAATTTCTCGTCCGAGCTACATTCTCCTCATTTTCTCGTCCGAGCCACCTCGGAATCCTCGTCTCTCGATTATTTTGTGCTAAAAGTTTCCAATTCTAGAAGATAAAACTATTTTTTTTAATCTGGCCACATTAGGACATAAAATATGGATGGACTAAAGTATTGCAATGACTACACCATGTTGGAATCTTCAAACCCATGAGAATGATGTCAAACTTTATTTAGGTGAAACTTAAATCTCTTCTGCCTCCGTAATGGCTAATCTTCGTGATACAAAATAAATAGAAATATATTCGGAATACCTCTGCCTATAATTTTCCCCATGGAACCACCCGGAAAAATTCTATGGGTTTCACTATAGTTAACAAAAAAGATTAAAGTTCTATAAACTTGGAATTATTTACGGCATTCTACACTATGAATAGGTGAACATATTTAAAGACATTAAACTTGAAATCTTAAATTCAATTGAACGTGGCCCGATTCTTTCAAAATAGTTTTATCTGGAAGGATTAGACACTTCAAAAAAAAATTATATTGAGAGGACGAGGATTTTGAGATGACTCGGACGAGAAAATGAGGTGAATGTGGCTCGAACGAGAAATTGTTGCGGTTGGCCTTCCTCCCCTCATTGAAATGAAATTGATATTTTTTTTTAAAAACCCACCTAAAAATATCCGATATTACAAAAAATTTACATTTTTTGTTGAGAATATGAAATGTCTGTTTGCAAATTAAAACCGTACTGCATTGGCTTTCAATTTTTGTAGCCAATTTTTTTTATTGTTTTAGTATTTTTATTAATAAGAGCAAACTAAGCATTGCGCCACAATCATGCTTTATTAATTACGTCTGTAGAATATTCTGGATGAATCCGACTCAAAGAAGTTCGTAGTAAGATTTCGATTCTACTGGAGACCACTGGAGGGGTTTGAAAAAATACTTTTTACAATTTGAAACTTTACGCAGGGTGATGTACATTCTACTGGAGGGATTCAGATATCTTTCCAGGCAGTTTATAATTCCACTGGAGGGATTCAGAAATCTTTCCAGGGGGTTTATATCCACTCTGGAGGAATTCAAAAGGATATCTGAATCCCTCCAGTGGAATTATAAACCTTGAAGAAAGATATCTGAATCCCTCCATTGGAAATATAAACCCCCTGGAAAGATATCTGAATCCCTCCAGTGAAATTATGAACCCCTAGGAAGGATATCTGAATCCCTCCAGTGGAATTATAAACCCCTTGGAAAGACATCTGAATCCCTCCAGTGAAATTATAAACCCCCTGGAAAGATATCTGAATCCCTCCAGTGGAATTATAAACCCCCTGGAAAGATATCTGAATCCCTTAAGTGAAATTATAAACCCCCTGGAAAGATATCTGAATCCCTCCAGTGGAATGTAAATCACCATGCGTAAAATTTTAATTAGTATCTAAAAGCATTTTTCAAACCCCTCCAGTAAAAATGAATTCCCTCCGGTGGTCTCCAGTGGAGTCAAAATCTTACTAGAAACTTCCATAACTGTATGAATCCGACGTTTTTTGTAAGTCTGATATTTGTAATTTTTCAATATCTATCTCTCTGGCTTTCTCGTTTTAATCAAAGACCATGAAGGCTGGCGCGTATTTAGAATCTGAAGTCAGGTGGAGGGGGGGGGGGGGGTTTGTTTGAAGTGCGAAAAAGAAATTGTTGCCCCCCCCCCCATGTCAATCTTAATTTAGATTTATCTGAAAACTGTTTCAAGTTCTTTGTAGTCCTTAGTCCTCTATTTTCTATGATGTCTGTCTTCCTACTTTTCTGCAGTCTTGCTTTAATCCAGTTAATTCCCCTTTTTCCACTACACTTCATGGTGTTCCCCTTCAAGGGTGTGCGAGAAGACTTATCCCAACACTTGCCTATGGCTATATTTTTGAATCAAGAATTAAGCGGATGGAAAAAGTTTAGAACAACTGTAGAAGAAAGTCACAAAATATTCAGGGAGTATTTTTTCATTTTAACCTTAAATTTAACCCCTTGTAAATTATCTTGGTCTCATGATAGACCGATTTGCGTGAATTGGGAAATGCTGGAAATCTGAGTGTTTGCAGGAAATAATAAATAAAAGTTATCGAACTTTAACAACGTGTAAATGTGTCTCAAAGGCTATCTCTCTGTCTTACCCTTTAAAGGGACAGTAAGCGTAATTTCAAGTGACCCTCAATGCAAAGATAAAAATTCTTGATTCACAACGGTGCCCTTGAAAACTTTATCTGATCTATATTTTTTTTTTTTTTGGTTTAAAGTGTTTAATTCTTATCTATATATTAACAATTTGGACAAATAACCCAACCCTTGGAAATCTCTTAATACAATTTAGCTGTTGGAAAGCATCAAAAATGTTCTTTTTTGAAAATGTCAAATCATCAAAACTGTCACTGATACAGGTGGAAGACAAATAATATGTGTAAAATTCCCGTTTTTCCCTGAAAACATATTTCTTGAAACGTTGTACTGAATAATGGGGTGAAGTACAGGGAGGGGGGGAATTCATGGCGGTCACATATTCGAAGTCACATTTCTAAGTCACAATTACATCAACGTCATACTTTTGAGACCAAATTATGTCTGAGAATCTTTCTAAGTCACAACTTTGTCAAAGACTTATTCCAATGCACGACTATGACTAAGACTCATTCTAAGTCACCATTTATAGACAAACTCACATAAGACATAATTATGTCTAAGACACTTTACTAAGTCACACTTTAAGACACATTCTAAGGCCCAATTCTAACTCAAACCCAAGCCTAAGTCATGGTAAGACATGTTCCAAATCACAAAGTGTCAGTTTAAAAAAATGTGTCACCTTATTTTTAAATTATTTAAGACATGTATCTTCAGAGTCACTTTCTAGGGTTTGCGTCAAGGGGGCGTAAATTGTAACGTGTATCCTCACATTAACCCAATATTCAACTGTTCTCCGGCTCAGGGCTCCCCAACACCGCCAGGCCTCTTTGTTTTCAATTGAAATTAAATATCTAAGTAAACGCCAGATGCCGGAGTTAATACATTTCACAAAAAAGTTTATAAACGCATTAAACCTAGAAATACAAAAAAAATAATAAATCTAAAATTCCTATAACATAAAAATATATTTTGTGCCCTACAGCAAAAGTATGATTTCCGAAATAAAAATCTTTTTAATGATTAATTTACTCAGTGGGCTGGAGTACGGACTTTTTAAAAGTTTAAGTTGAGCAAGTTTTTTAAAAATTTGACACGTATGTGTTCTAATTTATTTATCTAGAGAAATATAAATATGTTCGCTGATATATATATATTTGTATGTATATGTTGGCTGAACCGAATGGGCAGAATTTTTGAGGCAACTCATGGGTTCCCTTAAAAATAGGGTTAAAGATCACTTCAGCTTGTATTTTATTTAAACGCAAGTATAAACATCCCCAATATATATAAAAATACTCTTTGTATAAATCTTGAAATATAATTGATCCATACAAAATAAATATTATTTCGTCAGTAAATAAACATGAAATAAATCGACCGAAGAAAGATTGAATATAATACCTTGTTGTAAGCAAGGCTGACTGTGAGTGACCGGCAGACTGGCTCCAGGAGCTCCAGTCAACAAATATTGGAATGTTCGTGTTAATCTTCAGAGCGGTTAGTCCGCTTGGTACAGGTCACCGACCAATCTTCTGGGGGTAGATCAGCTGAAGGGAGGGGTGGAATTATCTACGAGCAATCACTATTCTTCCTTCTACCTAGAATATATTAGTCAAGATCAGCTGAAGGGAGGGGTGGAATTATCTACGAGTGATAACAGGGAAAGGAGGGGGGGGGGGTTGAAACGGTGGCAACTGTTTACAAGATAATGAACGTTTATTCATATTTAAACAATACAGAAAGAGTTACTGCATTCATAAGTGTACAGTGTTACACACATAAAAATAAAACTTCAATATTTCAATAGGAACGACTTACTTTGGTCAGGCGGGTCAAAACTAGAAAATGGATTCTGAACTCTTTATAGATTTGGTTTATACTGCTTACTCAAATGTGTTCTTTTTATGATTATGAATAAAATTTAAAAAAATTGTACCAAGTGGAATTTATGTACAGTTGTAATCTCTCTTTACTTGTCTGTTGGTTTGTATGTTCGATCATAACTCCGGAACCCACTGCTAGTAGATTAGAATGAGTAGATCTAAAAGAGAAGAACAGAAGACAGATGTATGATCAGATAAAAAAATACAACTGTTGGAGAAAAAAATTCAATGCTAGTTTCAACTTTTGTTAAAAAAAAATTTTAATTAAAAATATTGTTAAAAAGAACAAGGAAAATTAAGAAAAGTCTGTAGGTTTTAGATACTAGCCTTAGAGGGCGCTTCGCGCCCATCTTCTAAATTAGTTGTGAACATGTTCTCTTTGTGTACATCGTAAAACAAAACAAAAATAATTCGCGAATTTTCACAAAAAATTTCGCGGATTTTCAAAATTTTTAAAAATTTAATGACGATCGAATTTTGATGGAGACAAATATTTGAAATTTTGATTTTTTATAAACCTTCCCTGGGGTCCCTAGATGTCCCACAAAAAATTTGGGCCCGATCGGTTTAGCCGTTTTGACGTTTATTGGATACAAACAAACAGACAGACAGACAGACAAGCCAAATTTATATATAGATTTTATCCTATTATTCCAGTTGTTAATTAAAACAAGAGAAATGAAGAATAGGTCTGTAGGTGTCAGGTATTTTATCCTCTCATTCCAGTTGTTAATTAAAACAAGAGAAATGAAGAATAGGTATGTAGCTGTAAGGTATGTTATCCTCTCATTCCAGTTGTTAATTAAAACAAGGGAAATTAAGAATAGGTCTGTAGGTGTATTTTATCCTCTCTACAAGAGAAATAATATCTGTCTAAACGTAATGAAGCAAAGAATTATGTCCAACTAATCTATGTTTGGGGTACTATAGTATATGTTAATGATAAGGACTGACTGGTTTTCTCAGAAATTAACGAATGTAGTTAGGGTACAGATAATGTTATAACGTAATATATATAGGGATGTTCAGGTTTACAGATATATGGTTTACTACTTTATTTATTTCATGAATATATTGATAAAGTAATGAAGTCAGGTTCAAGGATAGGTGAATCTATGAATGAATGAACTGATTAATTGATGTTAATGAGAAATAAATAAAAAAGTTTAAAATTCTCATTTAAATTGTATTGTTCTGGTTTTAAACAATATAAACGTATGGCAAGGAACTGTCAGATCTGTAGATTTTCAAACAAGACAAACATCAACATCTCTAGGGTGTACCGAAATATAAAGAAACAGGGTCTGTACCAAAGTACACAGATACAGGGTGTGCCGAGATATAAATATACAGGATGTACAAAACAAACATCAACATCTCTAGAGCGTACCGAAATATAAAGAAAAAGGGTGTGTACCAAAGTACACAGATACAGGGTGTGCCGAGATACAAAGATACATGGTGTACCGAAATATAAAGATACAGAGTGTACAAAGATATAAAGATTCAGGGTGTACCAAAATATAAAGATACAGGGTGTACAAAAATATATAGATATAGTGTGTACCGAAGTATAAAGATATAGGGCGTACCGAAATATAAAGATATAGGGTGTACCAAAGTACATAGATACAGGATGTACCGAAATATAAAGATATAGGGTGTACAAAAGTACATAGATACAGGATGTACCGAAATATAAAGATATAGGGTGTACCAAAGTACCTAGATACAGGATGTACCGAAATATAAAGATATAAGGTGCACCAAAGTACATAGATACAAGGTGTGCCGAAATACAAAGAAACATGGTGTACCGAAATATAAATATACAGGGTGTATCAAAATATATGGATACAGGGTGTACCGAAATATAAAGATACTGGGTGTACAAAAATATATAGATATATATAGATATAGTGTGTACCGAAATATAAAGATATAGGGTGTACCAAAGTACATAGATACAGGTTGATATTTACAGGGTGTGCCGAAATACAAAGATACATGGTGTACCGAAATATAAAGATACAGGGTGTACAAAAATATAAAGATATTGTGTGTACCGAAATATAAAGAAACAGAGTGTACAAAAATATAGAGATACAGGTTGCACATAAATACATAGATAGAAGGTGTGCCGAGATACAAAGATACAGGGTGTACCGAAATATAAAGAAACAGAGTGTACAAAAATTCAAAGATACAGGTTGCACAGAAATAGATAGATACAGGATGTTCCGAAATATAAAGATATAAGGTGTACCAAAGTACATAGATAAGGCTGTGCCGAAATACAAAGAAACATGGTGTACTAAAATATAAAGATACAGGGTGTACCGAAATATAAATATATGCAGGGTGTATCGAAATATATAGATACAGGGTGTACAAAAATATGTAGATATATATAGATATAGTGTGTACCGAAATATAAAGATATAGGGTGCACCAAAGTACATAGATACAGGGTGTACCGAAATATAAAGATATAGGGTGTACCAAAGTACATAGACACAGGGTGTACCGAAATATAAAGATGGGGTGTACCAAAGTACATAGATACAGGGTGTACTGAACTATAAAGATATGGGGTGTACCAAAGTACATAGATACAGGGTGTACCAAAATATAAAGATACTGGTTGCACACAGAAATATAAAGGGGAGAAAATTAAATCTTAACAGGAAAGAGGGTGCAGTACAGAAATATAAAAATTTAGATTTCTGAAACAGAAAAAGACAGGGTGTACCGAAATATAAAGATATAGGGTATACTGAACTAGAAAGATACAGGGTGTACAAAATTTTAACGGTTCAGCCTTGAAGGAGACACAGAGACTACTGAAATAAAGAAATATAGGATGTAACGAAATATTAAATTTGTCATGGATATACCGAAATTTAAATTTTCTTTGCACATTTTCGGGGTTTTTTCCACATCATTCATGATTTAATTAAAATGTCATTTTTTATATGAATTTAACATGCATATCAAAAACGTTTATTATTCGTAGATCAAGATGAAGTTTTAGCTCGTACCATTTCTTACGCGCTCAAAATCAATCGTCCACAAATAGCAGGGAATATACGCACCCCGTGCGTCAAAAGAGGCACGGCCATCAGTATGTTAAAACCCCAGTTGACATGAGTTCACTGATGAGAGAAGATGATTAAAAGATTCAATATAAAATTATGGATTGATAATTTTCTTCACACTGAAGTAAAGTACTGAAATGAAACTAGAAAACTGTGAAGTGTATCAGTGAAATTATAAGACCACGGGGGTATTAACTATTGATTTAAAATGTCTTTTCAAATAAACTTAAAAAAGCATATTATATAAATATACGTTGAATCCAGGAATATGATGAGATTAGTGAGAAACTTAAATTGAAATTTAAAACCAACCTGAATCTGAACTTAAAACCCAAATCTGAACCTAAACCTGAACCTGAACCAAACCTTAATCTTCGATCTGAACCTGAACATGAACCTGAACCTGAACATAACAAAACATCAGAGCTAGAATTCAGGTTTTAATAAAAAGTAAAAGAATTGATTACTGCAAAAGTTGTTTACATCAATTTAAGTGGGTTGATAAAAATAATTCTCCTATTAAGAGGAGTTTTACGCATTACTCGATCATTGGTCAAAACTGGGGTTGATAAGGTGAACTCATTTAAACCAAATAATATTAATCCGTCAATACTAAATGTCTCAGTTCAACTTTTATTGTTTAATCTGTTTTTGCTGGTTGATAAGTTTTTTGAGATTCAGTGGAAGAAAATAGAAATTCTTCAGACTTTTGGAAATGCAGGACTATTGAAAACCAGCTGATTTATCCATCGTTGTTTATTTTTCCTTATCTCATGATCAGATCAACTATAATCATTTACATTTAAGACTTTACATACATTAATACTCAAATATCTAAAAACCAATGTAAACCAAATATTGTGATATTTTTTAGATCTAAATTTTTAGATTTATTTATAATCAGATATCCATGTTCTTGTTTTGAAAACTGATTATTTTTATTGATGGTTCCTCTATAAAAATGACTTACGCATTTCTAGATTCAGAAGCAATCAAGAAACAATCATAATTGAACGCCCCACTTTAAATGGAGGGTCACTTCAAATTACGACTACAGTCCCCGTGAAGGTAATTGAAAAAATTCATGCAAAAATAAAACAAATTTTAAAGTTTTAAAGGAATCGAGCCTTTGTCACAAACAAAAATTTAATGATCCCTATATCGTTGCAACCTGATGATCTATAAGCTGATATTTTAATCTGAGATTATTTTATCTGAAAAATTTCATAGTTGAAAATATTTAAGGTGTCTATGACATTGGGTATATATAGGGATAAGAAAATCACAGTTTATGGAAAAAATCAATTTTTTTTCAAAATTTTATTCATGATTTAAGATTTAGATTTTTACATCGTTTTTGTTGTTGACATACATAAATAAAAGCACAACTAGAAGCCTTCTTTATGCTTTTTAATTAATGATAAAACCTTTTTTTAAGAGAGCATGAGTTAGTTCAGGAAGGAGCAAGATGTCAGACCAGGATAAACACATAACCTCAGTTTACAATCAACAAAACAGGTTATTATATCAATATCCTATGTTTAGACGGATTGAACAGTATGTAGAAGAAAACTATACAGCTTTTGTATCAATATCCTATAGTTCAGACGGGTTGAACAGTATGTAGAAGAAAACTATACAGCTGTTATATCAATATCCTATAGTTTAGACGGGTTGAACAGTATGTAGAAGAAAACTATACAGCTGTTATATCAATATCCTATAGTTTAGACGGATTGAACAGTATGTAGAAAAAAACTATACAGCTGTTATATCGATATCCTATGTTAAGACGGGTTGAACAGTATGTAGAAGAAAACTATACAGCTGTTATATCGATATTCTATGTTTAGACGGGTTGAACAGTATGTAGAAGAAAACTATACAGCAGTTATATCGATCTCTTATACTCAAGAGGTAGACATAAAAAAATTCACCCTTATTTCCTTCGAGCGATTAAATTAACAATAATGAGAGTAATTCCCAAGTTTAATTGTTTCATCCATAAAACTGTTTAAAGGAATTAAGTCTTAGTCACAAACTTTGATTTTCTAATTTCTTCATCTTTGCAAGTTAATATCGGAGACCTATAGATATTTCAAACTATGAATTATGTTAGATCAAATGATCTAAGTTTAAAATACCAAAGAATTACACCACCAGGTTGCCAAGATACAGGGTGTCCCAATAAACATGGGAATTCATTGACGAATTCGATATCGTCTTTTCAAATAATTCTTTGATTTAGTATAGTGATACCTACTGAGAAAGCTGTAATCTGTAAGAGTTTCGTCTGCTCTGTTCACATTTTGTTTGTTTATGTTTTGACTGCATACGGTTGTACTTAGTAAAACAAGAAAATTACAGTATACAAACAGAGTAAACTTGTCCGTCTTCACTTTTCATCTTGCGGAGGCAATATAAACCCATCTTTTTCAGTCTTTTACCCTTTTCTTAAAATAAACTCTGGCAGACATAATAATATTATGGCTTTTAAAAATTAGGTATTACAATGCTAATTCATAACAAAGACGATATCGAATTCGTCACTGAATTCCCATGTTTTTTTGGACACCCTGTATAGGGATAAGAAAATTTGAGTTTGTGTCAATGACTCAATTCCCTTAGGAACCAAGTATAGGAGCTGGAGTTTCGGTTTCTTGTAACCAGGATTTTGCTCCTGGAGTATCCGTTCTCTGTGCTAATGCTGAACCCGGAGTTTCCATTCGCTGTGGTTCATCTGAACCCGGAGCAGGAAACCTCAAACCTAAACCTAAACTCAAGGAATATATGCCATTAAATCATGATAAAAACGTTACTAAATCCGTGCCCCCCCCCCCCTTAGAATATGTATCATTACATTTTTATCCATAGTTCACACAGAGCAAGGTACTAATGCAAGGAAAGTTATTTCAGAGGTGTACATATTTTTTGTACTGCAGTGTACTGTCTTTTCGCGGAAAAGTAAACGTAAACACATGACGGATGTCACAGCCTAACATGGAATCAATTTTCACAAAAATAATATGAAATAGTCTGGTCATATGAAACTATTCTTGTTTACAAATTCCGCCCAGAGAGAACTGGTTTCAATATGTACGCAGAGTATACGCGACCGCAATTAACTTTCCTTGCATTATTTCCTTGACACAGAGTACCATGTTTAGTGGTCATGAGTGCCAAGTATTTTAAGAATATTTCCCTTAATTATATTATACATAAATACGCCTACGTAAAACTAAGCTGCGGGGAGGGGCAGGGAGTGGTTTATGGATCAGGAAAGGGGGGGGGAGGGTTCTGACTCTGAAGTTTTTTGTTTAAAAGGGACGGAGTTAGATTATGGCATGAAAATGATTTTTAGGGAGGGGTGATAACTGGATAGCATAGTTTAGGCCTTAGGGAGTGGAATGTTTTAAAAATGTGTAAAAGAGGAACAATTTAGGACATGACTAGAAAGAAGACAAGATGAGAAAGGAGGATGAAGAGAAGGGAGGGAGGTTGCGCAAATGTTCTACGTAATGAGGGATAAAGGTGTGTTAGAGGGGGGGGGGAGCTGGTAAGGGGTCCATTAAGCAATGATTGATCATGAGGGAGATATGCTGAATATGGTTTAAATCATATTCTAAGTTTAAACATTGCGTATTAAAGAGGGTTGGGTGGAATAAGAGAATCTTATAGTAAGAATAAAAGTTCGGATCAATCCCAGAAAATATTAAATATAAAAATGATAAAAGATTAAATGTTAAATATGGACATAAACGCAATTATGGAGATACGCTCCTTTTGATTAGAGGGAAGTCAAACTAAAATGGAGAAAATAAAAGTGCAGAGGTAGAGAATGGAAGGGGTGAAAGAGGAGAAGAGGATGGAACGGAAAAAGGGAGGTTGTTAAATGGAAAGGTATAGAAATTGAAAAAAGGGGGTTAAATGAAGAGGAGGTGGTTTTAATGGAAGTGTAGGGAATTTGAATGGAAGTAGAGGTTAATTGGAATTGAATGCGCTTAAATGGAAGCGGATTTGTTTTAAATGGAAGCGGATGGGTTTAAATGGAAGCGGATGGGTTAAAATGGAAGGAGACAGGCTTAAATGGAAGGGGATGTGTTAAAATGAAAGGGACGGGTTTTAATGGAAGATGATGGGCTTAAATGGAAGCAGATGGGTTTAAATGGAAGGGGATAGGTTTAAATGGAAGCGGATGGGTTAAAATGGAAGGGACGGATTTAAATGGAAGGGGATGGGTTAAAATGAAAGGTGATGAGTTTGAATGAATGAGAATGGGTTTAAATGGAAGGGGACGGGTTTTAGTGCAAGTGGATTTTAAATGAAAGCGGATGGGTTTAAATGAAAAGGGGATGGGTTTAAATGGAAAGAGATGGGTTTTAATGGAAGCGGATTGGTTTAAATGGACGTGAATGGATTTAAATGGAAGAGGATGGGTTTAAATGGAAGGGAACAGGTTTAAATGGAAGGGGATATGTTAAAATGAAATTGACGGGTTTAAATGGAAGTGGATGGGTTTAAATGACAGGGGACGGGTTTAAATGGAAGTGGATGGGTTTAAATGAAAGGTGATGAGTTTGAATGAATGAGAATGGGTTTAAATGGAAGGGGACAAGTTTTAATGGAAGTGGATTTTAAATGAAAGGGGATGGGTTTAAATGGAAAGAGATGGGTTTAAATCGAAGCGGATTGGTTTAAATGGACGTGAATGGATTTAAATGGAAGTGGATGGGTTTAAATGGCAGGGGATGGGTTTAAATGGAAGTGGATGGGTTTAAATGAAAGTGGACAGGTTTAAATGGAATGGGATGGGTTTAAATAAAAGGGGATGTGTTTAAATGGAAGGACAGGGGTTTAAATGGAAGGACAGAGATTTAAATGGAACGGGGCGGGGTTGAGGGAGGGGATTTTTGGAAAGATGAGGATGTTGAAGGGAAGGGAGGTGAAGGAAGAGGTGGAAGGTTAGTAAAAGGAAGCATAGTTGGGAAGGGAGGTGAAGGAAGAGGTGGAAGGTTTGTAAAAGGAAGCATGGTAAGGAAGGGAGGTGAAGGAAGAGGTGGAAGGTTTGCAAAAGGAAGAATGGTTGGGAAGGGAGGTGAAGGAAGAGGTGGAAGGTTTGTAAAAGGAAGCATGGTTAGGAAGGGAGGTGAAGGAAGAGGTGGAAGGTTTGTAAAAGGAAGCATGGTAAGGAAGGGAGGTGAAGGAAGAGGTGGAAGGTTTGTAAAAGGAAGAATGGTTAGGAAGGGAGGTAAAGGAAGAGGTGGAAGGTTTGTAAAAGGAAGCATGGTTAGGAAGGGGCTGGGAATTGAGTGAATGGAAGGTGAAGGTTAGGTGGAATTAAGTTTATGATTACATAAATCTAACTCAACCTGACGCATGTGAATACGCTTTCAGATAACAAATACGCATTTTCCGTCCCTTTAAGACAGATTAATAAGATTTTGTGACACTCCCTTTCAGGTGGGGTGTGTAGGGTTCAGTGTCTAGTGAAGATTATGCTAAAATCTCAAGCTGTTTATTTTATTCATTCATACACACGTTGCGTATTTACAACTTTACATGGTTTACAGGGACTTGGCAACAGATAATACTTTCTGCAAAATCATTATTTGTGTAAAATATTTCTTATACTTTTCAGAATATAATTTAAAATTCAATATTAAAAAATGTTTAAATTTACGCTTCGTTTATGTGTTTACATCTGTAGGTTTTGGCAAAACAGCATAAATATATACACGCGGCGCACACGGCGCACCCTGCAGGGTAGATTTATTATAAGATTACAAGCGCATGAAGTATTTTTATTTATGTGTGTATTGTGTACAGGGTGTGCTATAAAACATGTATCATTTATAGAAAATATGTACTTCATGTTATAAAAAAAGAATTGAGTCTTTTCCTCAAATCCGGATTTTTAATCCTTATAGATCTTTGAAACCTAAGGTTGCGTTTCAAACTATGAACTAGATCAGGTTTGAAATACCAAAAGCTTACACGAGCAGGTTACTAAGATTTAGAGCTTAGAACATTTGAGTTTGTGGCAAAGACTTCTTTATGTACTTTGCACAATATAGTTCTTTGGTCGGTTCAAAATAAACAGTTAAGAAAAGCAAATAAATCTCTAATTTATCCTAAACAAATTAAATGAATCTAAAAAAGCAATTAATAGGTTTTAAAAGGTAAAAATTATAAAATACCTAAAGCTTAATAGCGAACTATGACAAGAATGGCAAGGTATGATTGTGTAGGATAATGTGAGTTCTATCTATATATCTGGAGAGGGGTCGGATCAGGATCAGGAAAGAGTTAAATATAAGGTTCAAGAGCCAAGAGACACTGGGTTAGACTCTGTTCAAAACCAAGATCTTCAAAATCTGGAACAAGACCTTGCTCAAGATTTGGTTCTAACTGAAGATGAAGATCCACTGGAAACACAATCACAAGAACTAGATGATAAAGTGTCTCAATACACAGTCCAGGACACTGCACAATACCTTGCTCAAGACCCAAGTCAAGATCAAGTTCAAGACCCAAGTCAAGATCAAGTTCAAGATCCAAGTCAAGATCAAGTTCAAGACCCTAGTCAAGATCAAGTTCAAGACCAGAATCATGATTCTCTTCAAGAATACTATAGAGACCCAGTTCAACATTGTGTTCAAGAGTCAGTTGATGACATAATTCATGATTTGGTTCAAGACAACGCTATATACCATGGTCACGATGGTCAAGACCATGACCAGAACTGTGTGGAAAACCCAGTGCAAGAACCTGAGCAAGACCCAGTTCAAGATATATTTCATGAACTAGTTGAAGAGACATGTGAATACCATGGTCAAAATTGTGTCCAAGACCCAGAGAAAGTCCCAGTTCAAGACGCATTTTATGATCTACTTGAAAACTCAAGTGACCACCTTGGTCAAGGACCGATTATAAACGAAGTTGAAGATAGGATTAAAGAACCTACAAAACACCTAACTCAAGATTCGTCTGATAATACAGTTCAAGACCTGGATACAGACCTAGTCCTAGACCTAGTTCAAGGATTGACTACGGATCCAGAGGAAGAAACAGACTTGGATGAAGTTCCTTCGATAAACCAATTGCAAGAATTAAACCAAGATTCATTGATGAAAAAACTTTCAGAAGTTCAAGAAGCTATGACTCAGATTCTTGATAAAGACAATGATGAGAATCAAGAAGAAAATCAGGAAGAAACTCAGGATGGAAATCAGAAAGAAACTCAGGATGGAAATCAGGAAGAAACTCAGGATAGAAATCAGGAAGAAACTCAGGATAGAAATCAGGAAGAAACTCAGGACGGAAATCAGAAAGAAAATCAGGAAGAAAACCAGGAAGAAAATCAAGAAGAAAATCAGGAAAAGAATAAGAATGAAAATCAGAAAGAAATCCAGGATGTAGTTTTAAATCTTGATGATCAGCGAAAGAATCAAGAAACTCAAGATATTGTACAGAAGGAGCTTGATCCTATAAACATAGAAAAAGTTACAAAACAAGAAAATATGAATAAGCCTAAAGAGCAGAGCTGTTTTCAACAACTTATACCTAAAGAAAACTCTGAAATTTTACAAAATACTTATCTTGAACCATCACTCACACCCAACCCTGATATCATGCATGCCTGCACTTGTCTCCCTGAGACCCCTGGTGCTGGCCCTACCCCTGATGATGACCCAACCATCAGTAATGAATGTGACTGTGTTGCCAAAGATCTGAAAAGCATGTGTCAGGATGGAATCTCAGGTTCACAAGAAAGAAATCAATCATCTGAGTTTACTGTTGAAGATCCAAATCTGCTGAGTTTGACAGATCGTCTTAATACAATTGAAAGTTCACAACAGAAGCAGCCATTTTGCAAGGAAGAGCCACCATATTGCAAAGAGGTGCAGGCAGAATCTTCAGACCAAGGAAATTTTTTTGAAAATTCTAAAGTGAATCAAGATGAAACTAGAATTGAACCCTTCAGCGAGTTTGAAAACGATAAATCAGACAAGGAAGAAGTTGTGAGAACAAACTCAGGGTCCACAAACACATCAACTGAGACTGGAGATACAGGTTCAACTGTTATCTGGAATGAGAAACTGAAACCTTCGTTAGAGGACAGTTTCTCTTCAATTCCATCAGAAGACTGGAATGAAGATTATTCGAAGCTGTCAGAAACCTCATCATCCTCCTCTAATGATATGGATGATATACCAGAACATGAAACAAGTGTTGATGATTCTCCAGATCATTCAGATGGTAGTATACCTGAAGAAAACGATGATTCCAATGACTTCTCTGAAGATAGGAAAAACGGAGAAATTAATGAAAGTAGAATCGATTATTCTAAAGACTCTGCAATAGAGTTTACATCGGAGGATTTAAATTTGACTTTTGATGAGGGGTGTGTAGATTATGTAGATTATGAGCTTGTGCTAAAATCAATACCTGAGGAGTTGTTGGATGAAATATCAGAGGACAGTTCAGAACAGGAACAAGAGAATTTACAGGAGCAGGACACTTCGTTGTCCTATAAGGAGAAAAGGACAGAGCAAGGAGATGAAAAAAATGTTGAACAGAATCTAACAAATAAAGCTGAGACAGATATGGAGAGCCCGGAGCACGAAGGCAAGAATTTTGAGCATGCAAGGGAGAATAAAGAGCAAGAAAAGGAGGAACAAGAGCAAGAACAGTGGGGTTCAGAACAGAACAATGAGAACATTTTATATCTAAAATCAGCAAATATGTTAAGGACGGAAGAAGAGGTTAAGTCAACCAAGATACAGGAAGTGTACGCTGAAGGGAAACAAGGGAATCAGGAACAGGAGCATGAGAACATTTTAGAGCAACGGCATGAGCATAGTTTAGAGCAGGATCTAAAGAATAGTATTGAGCAGGATCAGATGGAGTGCTTAGACCAGGAGCACGAAATGAATTCAGAACAAGATCAGGAAAAGTGTTTAAAACATAAACAGGAGAGAATTGCTGCGCTGGAACAGATTAAGTGTTTAGAAAAAGAACAAGAACAAGAGAATAATCTTGAGCAGAAACAGGTCGAGAGTTCAGAATATGAACAGGCGAAGAGTCTAAAAGAAGAACACCAGAAAACTGACAAGCAGGAACGGGAGAAGTGTTCAGATGAGGAACAGGAACAGGATGATTTTTTAGATCTTGAGCAGGAAAAGGTGGAGAGTTTAGAACAAGAACAGGAGACTAATGTTGAGCAGGAACTGGAGGATAGTTCAGAACAAGATCAGGAGAAGAGTTCAAAACTAGATAAGGAACAGAGTTCAAAACTAGATCAGGAACAGAGATCAAAACTAGATCAGGAACAGAGTTCAAAACTAGATCAGGAACAGAGATCAAAACTAGATCAGAAACAGAGTTCAAAACTAGATCAGGAACAGAGTTCAAAACAAGATCAGGAACAGAGATCAAAACAAAAACAGGAAAACAATGTTGAGCAGGAATTCTTGGAGATTATTGCTAAGCAGGAACTAGAAAAGAGATCAGAACAAGGACTGGAGAATAGTTTTGAGCATGAAATGAAGGAGTGCTTGGAACGAGAACTGGAACAGAATATAGAACAAGAACAGGAGAATATAGAACAAGAACAGGAGAATAATCTCGAGAAGGAACTTCGTAAGAGTTCGAGACAGGAACAGGAAAAGAGTTTAAAACAAGAACAGCAGAATAATATTGAACATGAACAGGTATATTGTTCCGACTTGGAGCAGGAAAGGGGTTCAGAACAAGAACAGAAGAGTATTGATGACCAGGAATCGGTGGAGAGTTTAGAACCGGAACAGGAAAATAGTCTAGATCAAGAACAGGAAAATATTGCTGAGGAGGAACTGGTGGATTGTTTAGAACAAGAACAGGAAAATAGTCTAGATAAGGAACAGGAAAATATTGCTGAGCAGAAACTGGTGGATTGCTTAGAACAGGAAAATAGTCTAGATAAAGAACAGGAAAATATTGCTGAGCAGGAACCGGGGAATTGTTTAAAAACGGAACAAGAAATGAGTCCAGATCAAGAACCGGAAAATATCGCAGAACAGAAACAGGCAAAGATAAAAAATTCTCCGGAAGAACCGGAGACTCATATCGACCAGAAACATGTGGATAGTTCAGAAGAGGAACTGGGAAATATTTCCAAAGAGCAGGAGAATCTAGAACAAGACTTGGAATCAGAAATGGGTTTTGAGCAAAAACAGCAGAAAACGTTAGTTCAGAAACAGGAAAGAGGTTTTGAGCAGGAGTATCACAAATCTAAAAATAGTTCTACTGAAATTGATAAAAATGAAATTAAACAGAAAAAGTCGGTTTCTTTTGAGGAGGAAGTTGAATGTATTGGTTACATAAACAGTGATTCTTCAGATGATACAAATGAAGAAGGTTTGGATCAAGAAGATGAAAATGAAGTCAACAAACAAGTTGTAGAAGATGAGGATCTACTTGAGAAGGGAGAAGTTACGAATAATTTGGATGATAAGGCTGTAGATCAAAGATTTTCAAAACATGAATTAGAAGAAACAGATGCTGACTCTAATGATTCTAAAAATGAAGTTGGGAAAGGGAAAGCCAAAGTCGATGGTTTTACAGGTAATCATTATGATGCAACTGATGTTAAAACATGCAGAAGTGTCAAATCAGATGATCAAGATGAAATAGGTTCAGAAATCTCTGATGACAACAAAAACGCATCTTTTAAAGATGAAGATATTTCTTACACACTTAAAGATCCAAAAGCAAATTACCAGATTCTTGAAGGCTCCGAACAAAGTGCTCATAAAGTTATCAATCCTAAACAAAGCATTCATAGTTTAAAACTTGACTTTGAAGATATTTATGTCAAAGCAGAGATGAATTATGATAAAAAAGCTTGTGATGACACTGATCGTGATGCAAAAAATCACACAGACAATTCTATAGAAATAATGGCGATGGAAAACAAACATTTTCAAGATGAAGATTTGGAAGAAATAAATGAGGATAAGAATGCATTAGCAAAAGATCATACAGATGAAAAAGATGATGAAACAGAATATAATGCATTCAAAAATGGTCTTTCTACTGATACTAAAGCTACAGCTCATGATCATTCACCTAATAAAACAAATGATTCTGAAGCTGACAAAACTGAAAAATCTGAAAATGATTTTGATTTGAAAGTTTCCAGCCCAGATATGGATTGTAAAACAGACAATTCAGGTGTTGAAACTCACTCCTTTAAACCAGAAAATCCTGAACCTATCGAAAACAATGTTTATGTTGACAAAAAAAGCTTGAAATCCAATGGTGTAGAAGTTGATGTACCAGATATTAGTAATATTGAGGAGGTTACTGCAGATATCGAAACAAATATGAATACTCCTAAAAATGTACATGAAGCAGAGATATCTCCTGTAATAAATGGTGCTATGAATAGTGTACCAACGGATCCTGGTATAACTATACCTGCTGAAGTCGAACAAGTGAAAGAGCTGAAAGATAAAAATGGAAAGACAAAGAAGAGCAAATTCATTCCTGGGCATAAGAGAGACAGATCTGTATCTATCAACACAAAGTCAAATTACAACATGATATCACAGGAAAGCCAAACAAAAGTATTACTGAATGATATTTTAAAGAAACTAAACAAAGGCCACAATTTGAAATTTTCTAATTCAAATTCTTTGCAACCTGATTGTGTTAAATATTTACATTTTAAACTTGGAATAATATGATCTGACCTATTTCATTCTTTATAATGTCTAAGGTCTACGACATGGTTGCAAAGACATAGGGATTAGAAAATTATAATTTGTGGTATTAAAGTGTTTAAGTATTAATTCAATGTAAGAAAATTTTCGTTTTGTTTTCATAGAATAACGAGCTTGATGATTCAAATGTTAATACAACCATATCTATTGAACCAGATTCTCCTGATAATACATTTATAAGAGAAGGATTTTTATCAAAATTCTTCAGAATTCTTCTGTCCCGCCGGGTCCGAAAGACGGAGGAGAGAGATGGTTCTGATGGAGAATATGGAGATGAATACTCGGATGATATATCTAACGATGGAAGTGATATAAGTGAGATTTACCTGAGGAAAATTAAGGAGAATGAAACACCAAGGAGATTCAAGTATTCACAGTTTGAGAATTCACCTTTTGAAGAATTAGGTAATTTGATTCAAGTTTAGTTTTAATTTTTAGAACATTTTCAAATTATTGTTTTTTAGTGAATTTGTGCAAGTCTGGTGACTTACTGGATAACAGCAGGTATTTTAATAGAAGTATACACAGATATGCAATTAATAAGATTTCATTTATATATTAATTTTTACTTTATTCTTTAGGATTGCAGACTGCAATGGATGGAAGGAAGATATAGCAGAAGAAAACTCACAAAAGGTAAATATTGAATGGGACTGTGGACGTAATTTCATTTAAAAAGGTGCGTACTAGAATTGCAGATTTCAACTACAAAATCTGTCAGAACTAAACACTTTTCAAGCTAGAATAACGAAGATATTATTGATCTGATAAAGGTTTAAAGGGTGCCGTTGTCAATCCGACATATCCTTCTTCAAATTGAGGATTACTATAAGTTAAGAAGACTGTTTTGTAAAGTCTGTGAAAAATAAAACTTGTTTGTTTTTAGAATACAAGTTTGCGGAATCCTTCTCGATCAAGATCTAAGCTGAAAACTGGACACGGAGCTAAGTTTCAATCTTTGGCAAACCTCTCCGTAAAAGCTGAATCTCCGGGTGTCAGGGAGAATAGTCTCAAGTATCAATCCTTATCTAATATCAGGCGATCCCTCTCCAGATCCAGGATGGAGATTCTCAGGAAGGAAGTTCAGGTTTTTTAAATTTTTATTTAGTACTTATCCTAACTTTTCCTGAAAACTAAAAATTAAACATAATTAACTTAAAATTTTACCGAGTTAAGAACATGTCCTAGGTTCCCAGATCAAAATTAGAGGGGTTCATGGGTTGAGATTCATCAGATTACTGCTTTGTGAATATAAATAAAGTTGGACCCATAAAGTTGCGTAGACTCAAGTATGATTTTAAATAGTCCAAAATACCATGAAACACGACAATTGTGCAGAGTACACAGACCTATTTCGCTTAGTAAGTTGATTTTTAAACTACATGACCAATTAGTTTATATTACTTTGCAAAAGTTTTTTGGGTTCTACTGAACTATTTTGGAGGAAAAAGAATTTCTCAATTCTGCCATTTTTTAAATCCTTCTTTATTTAAAGATCAAAATACCACCATTGGCTGCTCCAGAGTTCATGGAAGACGATCTCGAGAAAAGAGAAGACGACAAGATTACGAAGAATGAGGTTGAAGAATCTGAGGCTTTTTCCAGGTATTTTTCTAAAAAAAAGATTTCAAATTCTTTCCTTTTTTTTTTGGTTCAGATTTTGGCCCAGATGGAACACCTCTAAAAAAGAAGAGAGCAAGAAGACTGATTTAAATGATGAAAAGTTGAAAGAAATTAAAATAAATGATACCGGAGTATTTACTAATCAAACAGAAGATCAAACAGAACAAGAGTTATTAGAAAGTACAAATAAAATGAATACTGAAGCCGTTTTTATTCAAAAAAAGGTAGAATCAAATATTGCAAAAAGTTAAAATTTAGATTTAAATTTATCTTTGTTCTTTTTGTTTTAGAATTATTATTATTTTTATCATTATTATCATTATTATTATTATTTTTTTCAGTACTATTTCTGTTAACGGTGGTTAGTTTAGCTAGTGATGTATTGTATATTCTGGATACCTTGAAAATCTTAAATTCTCTATTCTCTCTCAACCCGGAGAAATCAATCCCACTTGAATCTCCGATATCACCGGTATCTCCGGAACCAAAGCTCACTGATCTTTATTTGGCAACAGGAACTTAAAAATCTTACAAATTAAAAATCAACAGTCTTTCTCGTTTTTTTCTGCAGATTTTCCCGATAAGTCTAAAATATTTAAGTAAAAGATTCAAATTATATTTAATTATAGTTACACAACTTTTGCCTTGCGCTTCCCCATATTAGAAGAAAGCGTAGATTTTTTAAGTTGGTAGGATATTTGAGTATCTTGCCCTTTTTCCTACCGGGGTTTCTGTTTCCGGTTGAACAGCTCTTCTCAAACCCGGAGACAAGGTTCGGTTTTCCTTTCATCCTTCTCCGGGTATCCCTAGTTCCTCTGTATCCTCTCTTTCTCATCCTAGTGAGAGCAGGGCGTGTTGTCTCCGGACTGAGAAGAAGTAGAAGAAGGGTTCAAGGTTCAAGGATCAGTAGAATGGATTTCAGAATCTCTGAGATTGATCTTGTTTTGAGGATTCATCCACAGGAATTGTTTCATTAAATTTTTATATCTAGTATCTAGATTATATAGAGATATAGAGTCTTGATTGAAATCAGTTTACCGAAAAGAATGAATGGTTGATTTTGCACTAAACTAGCAAGATCTAAGTACATACTGACTGTCAAAGGAACTGAGTCTTTGCCACAAACTCTGATTTTCTATTCCTTATATCTTTACATCCCTATATATATACAGGGTGTCCCACGAAACATGACAGTTGTTTTGGATGTCGTCTTCCATACAATGTATTAGAAATTAAAGGCTGTTTGCAGTTTATTTCGTTTAAAAAAATCTGTTGCTCAAGTAAATTTTACTTTGAAATAAATTTTACTATAATATGACTCCTATATATTACTTTTATTTTTATTATTGTCTTTGGTAAAAAACAACTTAACAAATTATGAAAGAAGAAATTCTAAACTACTTACCAACTGTCATGTTTCGTGGGACACCCAGTAGCTTATTAAAAAATGTTTAAAATAATGTTAAAAGAAAAAAAATCCACGTTTAATTAGTTAAAATAATAGTATAAAAGTACAGGCTTACTCTTAGCTAATTATTAAATTTGGTCCCTTGTACTTTAATTTTCAATGTACAATGTACAATTTATGTCAGATTTTTCTTCATTTCTGTCACATTCTTCTAAACACAAATAATCTCTCATCCTACTTACAGTTTTTGTCTTTAGGTAAGTATTTTTTTTAAATATTTTATAAATTATTACTTAATTGGTTGAATCCTTATAAAATATTCATTCTTGAAGGATGGGTTGAATTTTAAGTATGAAGCAAGTTTTGAGATATAAAACATTATTTAAACATCCTGGAATTCAAAATACTAAAGCTATGACCTTATTCTTTTTAGATTATTTGTAGCAACTTATCGTATTTCAAAAGGAAATTGCCAAAAAAACACAGACATTACCCGGTTTACTCTTTAAAAAATATCACTTTCAATAATAAAAATACTTTCGTTTGTACGTGGTTTGTAAATGTTGGAGGGGATAAGAGGATTATAAAGTTGGTTGCTACTTATTCTAACTTTCACTCCGAGCTATCTTATGCTGACGTGAAAAGAATTTAATAGAAAAAGACTTCCATGGACCCCGAAAAATAATTTGCTTGAGTAGCGTTTAGAAAGATGGACAAATGCTAAAAAGTTTCACTAAAAACAAGCCTTTTTTAGGACAGCTTATTCTCATTACTCTTTACAGAAATAAAAATATACAACTCAATGTTAAGATTCCTGTCCATCCTAGGCCCACTTGAATTTTTCATGAAAATTCTGTTTAAGGATTGAATGTTGTGTATCTGGTATCCTGCTCCCTTCACAATATCCTGTATCCTGAACACTGTTGTATCCAAACCCAACTCTTCCAACCTTCTTATCATCCGTCCCAAGATTGCACGGATGGTGAAACAATTGAGATGGATGTAATAGCAGACCTGGAGAAAACTTCGACAGAGGTTCAATCCTCCCAGGGTCCTAAAAATCAGGTATTAATTTCCGTTTTTGTGAGGTGGGGTGGAGAAGAGTGTGTGACACCAGTTCTCGTTGGATCACTGAAGTTAAACACACTTTTCCACAGCCAGTAACTGGATTGGTGTCCAGACTGGTGTTCACGGGTTCTATTCTCGTACTCCACACAAACCCGTGGTTTCAGAAACAACTGGAGCTGACCGCACCTGAAACTGACCTGGTTAAGCAGTTATGACCACCTTACGGATGAAGGAGGACAGAGGGGCGACAGTTAACAACTGTCGCAGCAAAAGGGTGCGTTCTTTCTACTCAACAAGAAAGAAGCTTTAAGTGGATTGATCCAAGTGAATGATGATGAAGAGAGGAATGGTGGACAAGCAGGGAGAGTCTATGGTTGTCAGCTATAGGTACCTGGGGGTATCCAATCCGGGCTTACAGGTGATTGGGAGCAATGAGTGTAATGTTTCCTATCTGTATGGCACCCGGGCCTCATTCCAGTATATCAGAAGGATTCCTGCACTCTATATTCTCAGGCCAAAGAAGCCCTTAGGCAGCTGGAATCTTGTCAACCCTCTTCTCAGTATAAATGAAGCGTGGATAGATGAACGTGCTGCCAGATTACAACCCCTGCTAGATCAATATAAACCCATTCAACACCAAACTTTCGCGATAGAAAAATTCCGAGATTTGATCGTAAAAACCCGATCATGTCCTGGGGACAAAATAAACTCATTTAAAAAAATTTCTGTTTTTTAATAATTCATAATGATCCAAAATAAATACAATTTAGCAACCTTTTTACATTCATACAAATAAAGTGTTTTCTACTTAAAGGGACTGATTAGCGTAATTTAAAGTTCAACCCTATTAATCTAAAAGCATTACATTTCCGATTCACATAGTATAATAATTAAGGAAGATACTGTTGTTTTCTTTTTTGAAAACATAAAAATTCTCTTAATTTCTTTCTATTTTGATTCATAAATTCGCAATTGAAAATCATCAATTTTCAGCGAGAACACAAGGATAACTTTTTAGCTCAGAAAAATGTTGAAAGGGTATGAAATGGGACATGCTATCTCCTTAAATAAAGGGGATTTTCATAAAATTTCGCCTGCATTCCCTTAAATGTACTTTATATATCACAAAGGATGAAGTAAGACTAAAAATAATATGAAGTATTTACCTACAGTCGTCGCCGTCGTATGTAACATAATAAAGACGACTTTCGATTTCAAATTCTGATTTCTACCAAACTTTTAAACAGCATTGCTACACATAAACATGGAAACAAAGAGAAGCTGTCAATTAGCAGTTTTTTGGTTCAATGTAAACCTGTAATTTGAAAAAAGCTCGTTTGAAACCAAAATTTATAAGAAAAGTCGTCTTCATTGTACTGATATAAACGCCGACCACTGCATTAAAGTCAATTCATTGTAAATTTACATTTTTACAGGATCTTGAATCTTCTCATCCCCTGGTTTGCCGTCTGGAGAGCCAGGACGTTTTCCACAAATCGGAGGAGAACCTGGAGAGAAGAGAGAACCCGAACCTTCTTCTGGTCCTAGTTCTAGTTCTAGTTCTACTCCTCAACTCAGGGTTCAGAGTTGGTTCTCTTGCTCTTCTTCTTATTCTGCTCAGGTCTTATAATATAAATTCCATAAAACCTGGTTTCTTGTTAAATGTTAAATGTTGAGTATAAATCTTTACAAAAATGTATTCAATGTTCTCTCAAATCTAGGTTTACTTTAAATAGATTTTAGGCATTTAAGCGATCTTACAATTGCACTTTTTTAAAATTAAGGTTTCATTAATATTATTATTTATTAATTAATTCTATCTGTTTTAACAATTATATAAAGTAAGGCAATGTCAATATTATAACTGATTTTTACAGATATAATTCATCAAAATTTTCAAGTCATTCTAATTCTGCAATTTCTGCAATAATCCAGTTACGACTGAGTAACAAAATCCACTACATGCAGGGAATGCAAGAGAAAGGACTGATTGAAATCTGTAGAATCGTCTTTTACGTGTTATTATTTGTGGGTAAACCTGTATTTCCAGGTTCTGGAGTTTAATCTACTTAATCCTTCTTCTTCTGGTTCTCTTTATCCTCAGTCGAACTTCAAACCAACCTCTCTGTATCCTTCTAACTACCGTCCCGTACAGATTCTGCACCCTGAGAAACCAATCCTCTTCCTTGGATCAAGCTCTGAGTAGTATCTGGAGAATGAGTCTGAACAGCTGGGTTTGGTTTGGAGTCCCCTGTTTGCTCCTGTATGTTCTTGTAGCAGGGAATCCATACCTGCTTCCACACTGGCAGGAGTTAAACCTAATCAAGGATATCAACTACTTTATCAGGTAGACCAAGTAAACATGATGGTTAACGCGGGGGATAAGAGTCGTCTTTTGTTTAGTCTTAATAAATTTACATTAGAAAAGAATACACTTCTCGATCATCATTTTGTTTCATATTTACTGGAAGTCTCTGCAACAGATAGATTACTAGGCCTTCGTATTTACAATTTTAGTTTCTAACTGTTGCTCTGAAAGTCATCATCTTTAATCTCAAACAAATTGAATCTGCCACAAACTCAAATTTAATCTAACAATTTGAAATATCTAAGGTATACGACATTGGGTTGCGAAGTTAAGGGGTTTGAAAATGAGAAAAATTCAATTCCTTTCCGCGGATGCTTCTGCTTAAATTAGTGCATTTTCGAAAAGAGTAAGTAATTGTCGACAAATTTTTCTGGTCAAAATTTTAAGCTTTACCTTTCCATGGGTCATGTGACTAGTCACAAAGTATTTGAATCCGATTAATTCAGCCGTTTTGACGTTTATTGGATACAAACAAACAGACAGGCAGACAAACAAAGTACGTATATATGCATAAATAGATGAAACACTAGAAATCGACAACACTTAGCATTTTTTTATTTCAAATTATAATTTAGTTTTGATTTATCAATTCTCTGTTTCGGTCTACTCTCTCTTCCCTTCTCTTATCTTCTAAACCAGAAAATATTAAGGTAAACTCAGTCCGAATATCGTATTTAATGAATTGGAGGGTTCGCTGAACTACCATCCACTGGTTCAAATGATAAATCACCGATTCAAAGTTAGATTCACAAGGATTTGAATCTGAGAATCAAGGTTTGAACCAGCGACCTCTCAAATTCATTAAATTCTGCCCCGGAACTATTAATCATATTTGAATTCCTTGAACAATAAACCATTTCTATTTAGGAGAACATCCGATTAGAAAACATGAAGTGTCTCAGACGACTCAGGACAAGAGGAAAAAAATCAATATGAAATTATTATAAAATTTCCATTAAAATTTTTCAGCAACAAAAACTAACATTTAAATGTTGTTTGAAGGAAAAGCACGAGTCAGTGCCGATAAAGTGCCATCGGACTAATCTATGTGTGACCTACGAATAATATTGGCCATTGGTATAAAAAACACTTCAAGAATAATATTAAGGTCATAACTTCTGTATTTGAATTCAATTCTTTATTCGCTCTATTTCACGGAATTAATTTTAATTCCTTCAATTCAAAGTTTTACACTGTAAATATATAGTTAAGTCGTTGTGATGGCCGGGATTTCTTAAGTTTCGTCTTTAATTTGGTCTTTTAGGTCCTTTTGTTATTTTAAAATGAGATAAAATTTGTTTTTAATAATAAATATTATATAACTTCCAAGATTGAAGATGTAAAAAAATTATGAAATTCAACAAAATAAAAAAATTCAAGTTAAATAATAAATAGACTTCCTATAGATGTGAATAACGACTTTTAAGATGAAAACGATGTTATTTAAAATATATAATTGCGATAATTTGGTTCCCTTTTCAACAGGCGGTTTAATTAAAGAAATTACCGTTTACTTGAAATCATTTGTTTAAAAATCATGTTTTGGTGGATTCCAGTATATATATAACACTGTTGTAGCTCAGTCATATCATATCTAAACCTAAAGTTTTAGTCTCTAACGGAAGAAAAAAGAAATTGTTAAACATTTTTATTCAAAAATATCATAAATAGTTTTTGAACAATTGCGCAAAAAAGTTTTTTGTTTGTTCCATTTTGCGTATTTATTTCTACATTTGTGTCAATTGTTGCGTCAAATGCATAATATACTTCAGTATATGTACTTTTAGCATGTACATATGTACATCAAACCATGCTGTCCAGTATGCATGTACAATGTACATAGAATATCACTTTAGTTAAATCATTCACGCTGAGTATATAAAAATATATATTTTGATAATGATGTATGACCTGTGGATTTGGGAGTAAAATAAGAATTGAAAAAAAAAAAATCCAATTTTCTAAAACGCTGGTTCCCAAACTTAATGTCCGATAATAAATATTAAGAGTATAAATACAGTTCTATAAATATACAAGTGCTTTATAAAATATACAAAGTAGAACTAGCACAGTTTACAGTTTATGCGAATTGTTTCTTTTCTTGGTTGAAGGTCAAGGGATAAAATTATATTTTAGCATTATGGCACGGGAAAAACAATGTATTACAAGTTAAAAATTCAAATACCAGTTTTTGTTTAAAAGTTATCAGAAAGGAGTATAAAAAAATTTCCCTTTTATTCCATCTGAATTTTGTAGATTTGGGGAAAGAGTGAAAATGTTCCAGGGAAGTTTGAATAACTCTTTAATCGCTGAGGTGGATTTAAGCACAATGGAAGCACCCTTTAATAACATTCATATTTGATCGAAGAAATTAAAATGTTTGAAGAAAAAAATATAAGTTCCGATATCTGAAGGTTTAAAAAATAATACTTTTAAAGTAGGTTCAGCTGAAAATATTTTGTCCGGTGTAATGTTTAAATGAGTCCATATAAATATGATGTGTAGGATTGATTAATTGTAGGAATGATCCTACAATTTTAGATGATGTGGAGAATTGATCCTTTAGTTGAAGGTTAAGTGTAGGATTGATCCTACAGTTTAAGATGATGTTTAGAATTGTTCCAATATGTGTATTGAGTAGGATTGATGAAGTTCAAGGGAACAATGAGGAGCGCGGTTAAACTTTTCCTAAACCAACTGATCTTTAATATTCGGAATTTTCAAAATCATAAAAAGATAATTTTTGAGATATTCATTTGGAATATTTCAGAGGGAAACCTTAATTTTAGAAAAATTTGGAATTTCGGGGGAAACCTCAAATGTAGAAAAATTTGGAATTTCGGGGGGAAACCTCAAATGTAGAAAAATCTGGAATTTCGGGGGGAAACCTCAAATATAGAGTAATTTTGAATTTTGGGGGGAAACCTCAAATGTAGAAAATTTAGGAATTTCGGGGGGAAACCTTAAATATAAGAAAATTTAGGAATTTTGGGGGGAAACCTTAAATATAAAAATTTTTGGAATTTCGGGGGGAAACCTCAAATATAGAGAAATCTGGAATTTCGGGGGGAAACCTCAAATGTAGAAAAAATGGGAATTTCGGGGTAAAACCTCAAATATAGAAAAATTAGGAATTTCGGGGGGAAACCTTAAATGTAGAAAATTTAGGAATTTTGGGGGAATCCTTAAATATAAAAATTTTGGAAATTCGGGGGGAAACCTCAAATATAGAGAAATCTGGAATTTCGGGGGGAAACCTCAAATGTAGAAAAATTGGGAATTTCGGGGGAAAACCTTAAATATAGAAAATTTAGGAATTTCGGGGGGAAACCTTGAATATAGAAAAATTTGGAATTTCGGGGTAAACCTTAAATATAGAAAAATTTGGAGCTATTTTGAGTTTCTTTTTACCACTGACACTAATCTACATCTAATTAAAGACAAACATTTCAATTTTTCATCCGAACTTAAAAGATAAGTTTCCTGTAATATTGTGACCAGTGTTCTCGTATCCAGCAGTCTTCTTACCCTCGTAGGCGCTGTGAGTTTGATGAGCTAAACAATAAAATTCTTACATTTTTCATATGTTAGAAAAATATGGAAAAATATACGGGGGGGGGGGGGGGATTTTTGATGAATTGGGAAACTAAATGAAAACTGAAACATCATAATGCAATTTTTCATTCTTTTTGAAACGTTTTCCCCCAAAACTCATTTATTTTCACCATCTCAGCGAAAACCCCTTAGAAAATTTCATATATAATTTCTGGAAATGAATGATTTTTAGAAAAATATACATTACAGATACACCCCTGAAATTAGGGAGGGGGAAGGCGGAAAGAAATCAAAGTCAAAATAGGTGGGGAAGGGAAGGAAAAAGGGAAGGAAAAGGAAAAGGGAAGGAAAAGGGGAAAGAAAAGGTGAAAGAAAGAAAAGTAAAAGAGGAAGGGTAACAAGACCAGAAAGGGATGGGCGGGGAATGGTAGGGAAGGAAGTGAACAGATAGGGAAGGAGATAGGTAGAGAGGGAAGGAGATAGGTAGGGAAGGGGAAAAGAAGGGAATAGGAAAGTTGGGAAATGGGAAGGTTGGGAAAAGGAAGGTTAGGGAGGAAAAGGGGAGTTTGCGAGGGAAACAGGAAGGTTGAAAGGGAAAGACTAAAAGATGGATTAGGGAACTACAAAAAGGCCAGGGAAGGTAGGGAAGGGAAAAGGAAGAGGGAAGAAGAAGGAGAATGCATGGGGAATGTAGGGAAGTGGGAATAATGATGGAAGGTTGGCAGATAAGGAAAGAAAGGGGAATATTGATGGAAGGTTGGCAGATAAGGAAGAAAGGGGAATATTGATGGAAGGTTGGCAGATAAGGAAGGAAAGGGGAATATTGATGGAAGGTTGGCAGATAAGGAAGGAAATGGGTATTTAGGGAAGTGAAGGGTTGGAGCTCTTTACCTCTTCATATCAGACAGCTTTTCACAAATAATTTCCCCCGATAGTTAAAATGCAGCATAAAAAAACGTTTAAAAATTTTTCGCGCGCACAATTTCATTAAAAAATGTGATAATAGAATACCCCTTACTCAATTACTTTTACACATAGTCTAACATGTTAAAAGATATTTTGCGCTACGCGCGCAAATTCAGAACAAGCAAATATTTTTTTTGAGAATTTGAGAGTAAACACCCCCCAGTTAAAATGAAAAAAATACCCCTGAACTGACAAATAATCAATTAAAACTTCTTTGCCAGTACCACCATACCAAAAGTTAGAAAAATTTCCCTGCAGCACCATCTATACAAAATGCATCCTTATGTAGTTTATTATACACTGCAGTGTAAATCTTAAAAATTATGTCTTTTTAGTTATCGTATTTGGGGAAGGAAATTAAAAAATTTCAGGGAGGCAGGGAGGAGGGGGAAAGAAAAAAATTGGACTTATTTACACCCCCGATATATTTCCTACCCACAAAGCAATAATATCTTTCTCAAAGTAAATGACTTACTTTTATAAATGACAAGTTCTACATCTACATTAATTAAGTTTTAACTATGATTTTTATAATATTTGTTTTCTTACGTTTAAAGAATTCTGCGAGGAAAGTTACATCAGGAACTAGGGAGTGTACTTTCTTCAGTACTGTATCATTCACAGCCAGTTGGGCATCATAGTTCCAGATCTAAATATATATCATAGTTCCAGATCAAAATATTTATTATAGTTCCAGATCTAAATATATAACATAGTTCCATATCTAAATATATATATCATAGTTCCAGATCTAAAAATATATCATAGTTCCAGATCTAAATATAAATCATTGTTCCAGATCTAAATATACATCATAGTTCCAGATCTAAATATATATCATAGTTCCAGATCTAAATGTATATCATAGTTCCAGATCTAAATATATAGTAAAAACTTTCAAATTTGAGGGGAAAAAACTGGAAAACATAATTTTAAACATGAATTCTTGGCTCACCTGAATGAGATCATCCCTTTCTCTAGGTGAGACGGATAGCCCTGCAATATCATCACCATCTGCTAGATCGGATACAAACTGTTCTCCTATAGCAGCTAACAGCAGTTCCTTCCAAACCTTTGCCTGAATATAAACATTATAATCTCCGTCCTGCTAGATAGAATACAAACTGTTCTCCTATAGCAGATCAAAGTGAATAAACACTAAAAAGGGTCAATATCATAGTTGTATGACGACATTATATATTCAAAATATTTTAGAATTATATTGCGAGGCGCTTATAATCTGTTTGTACTGTATGTACAGTACTAAACTTACTGCACTCCATTTGTTAACAAACTTTATTCTAGAAATTACGTGAAATTACAAAACAAAAAGTAAATATTTAAACACGATTATGCATCATGCATAATTGTTAACCGAAGAATGCATAATTTCTTGTGATACAAATAAGCGAAGCCGTTGGAGAGAAACAACCGCCTCAGATGATTAGATCCATAGTCTGCATTAAAAGGGATTATAAATGTGATTTTAGTGACCGGCCATTAACAGCAGTTTTCTTAATTAGACCTATCTTAGATGAAGATAATTACATTTTTAAACATGACCAGACTCTTGTTTTTAACATTCAGTAATTGTTTCTATAAACGGTTAATTTTACTGTCTTCTGCCATCAATTTTTTAATTTAAAACAAACATCTGTATGTTCATAAAAAATGAAATTAATATATATTTATATTAAATGCTGTTTTGCAGTTCAAATCCTAATTTACGTGTTTGTTGTAGTTTAGGGAGAAAGTCTTGAATTTGAAGTTTTTATGAAACCAAGTTACGTCCTCTGAAGTTCCCAGTTGAATTTCAGAAGTTTTTGTAACGTCGACATAAATAGCTTAACCTATTTGTAGTCCTTACTTTATAATTATTATTGGGCCCAGAAATAATATGAAAATTTTACCAAACCAAATAATTCCGTATGGGCAAATTAGTCGTCTTTATCCTGTCTGTTCCACTTTAGTATTTATTCACTTTGATAGCAGCTAGCAGCAGTTTCTCCATACAGCTAGATCGTATACAAACTACTCTTAATTAAAAGCTAGAAGCAGTTCTTTCCTAATAGGATAATGCCCTCAGAATATGTATACTATGGAATAACAGGTGGCAGCATTTGGTTTGGGAAGTTTCTCTATATTCAGCAACTAGCAGCGATTCTTTTAGAGCGTAGACAAAATTTGAAAAAAATTGTAACCAAGCTTTGAACATTCTTCTTACAAACTTACCGTATCCTTTTTCATGCATTTAAGCCTCCAGGTTCCTCCGTTGCATATCTCCGGATCCTCCCAGAGAGGCTGCCGTTCCTCTCTCATTAGATGGTAGTAGGACCTCAGGGGGAGCTCGCATATCTCAGGAATATGGTTGTACACAGACCTGGACAGCGTTGTTCAGTTCATATATATATTTAGAAAACAGGGCCGTGGGTATATACATTTTCTTTAAAATCATCCATTTCCACAATCTCGAGAGTAAGGAACCTTGGATAGTTTTTAATTCTGCTGAATTTGAACGTGTTCTTTTAAAGGAAATAATTAATTTTGGTTGAAAACAAAAAAGGTAATACAGGTAAAATAGCTTTAAAAACCCTGATAGGATTTAAGTAGAGTGATAAAACTTAGAAATATAATTTAACTAGGCTTTAAGGTCGCTTCGCGCCCATATTCTATTTAAATTATGAACATGTTCTTTTTATTAACATTTTAAAATAAAGAAAAAAATTTTGCGGATTTTTAAAATTTTTTTAAAATTTTTATCATTCATAAACCTTTCCTGGGGTCCCTAGATGTCCCACAAAAAATTTGGGCCCGATCGGTTCAGCCGTTTTGACGTTTATTGGATACAAACAAACAGACAGATAAACAGACAGACAAACCTTTATATATAGATTGAATTAAAAAAAGTTAAGACTGACCAGAATCCTTGAACTGTAGAGACTGTGTACACTTTCTTCAGGTTTGCTTGGTATTGGGCAGCTGTAGAACCCTTGGAGGCCCTAGACAAATCAATCAACCAATTAAATAATTTCTGTAAATCAATCAATAGAGCAATAAGTCAATCAATAAATAGATCTAACAATAAATCAATAGATGCATTGATAATAAATAGATCCATTAATAAATAAATAGATCCATTAATAAATAAATAGATCCATTAATAAATAAATAGATTCACCAATAAATAAATAGATCCATCGATAAATAAATAGATCCATCTATAAATAAATAGATCCATTAATAAATAAATAGATCCATCAATTAAAAAATAAATCCATCAATAAATAAAAGATCCATCAAAACAAAAAGATCCACCAATATATTAATTGATACATCAATAAATAAATAGATCAATTAAAAAATAAATAGATCCATCAATACATAAATGGAACAATCGATAAATAAATAGATCCAACAATAAATAAGTAGAACAATCGATAAATGAATAGATCAATGATAAATAGATAGAGCCATCGATAAATGAATAGATCCATCAATAAATTAATAGATCCATCAATAAATAGATAGATCAATTAAAAAAATAAATAGATCCATCAATAAATAAATAAATCCAACAATAAAAAAAAGATCCATTAACAAATAGATATATCCATCAATAAATAAATATAACCATCGATAAATAAATAGATCCATCAATAAATAAATAGAACCACCGATAAATAAATAGATCCATCAATAAATAAATAGAACCATCGATAAATAAATAGATCCATCAATAAATAAATAGAACCACCGATAAATAAATAGATCCATGGTAAATAAATAAATCAATCAATAAATAAATAGATCCATCAATAAATAAATAATTTGAACTAATTTGAAATGAAATCTGAAAAAGAGGCCATCAATAAATCCATCAATAAATAAATAGATCCATCAATTAATAAATAAGTCCACCAATAAATAAATAGATCCATCAAAATAAAAGATCCATTAATAAATAAACATATCCATCAATAAATAAATTGAACCATCGATAAATAAATAGATCCATCAATAAATGAATAGATCCATCAATAAATAAATGGAATCATCAATAAATGAATATATCCATTAATAAATAAAAAGATCCATCAATAAATAAATAGATCCATCAATAAATAAAAAGATCCATCAAAAAATAAATCCATCAGAGAAATAAATCCATCAATAAATAACTTGATAAATAACTCGATCAATCAATCAATCAATCAATCAATCAATCAATCAATCGATCAATTAGCCAGTATAATTTTGATAAATTAATCATTGCAATTATTTAATTACCAGAAATTTATCAATATTAATTTACAATTAGGCAGTTATAAATTCAATTAATTCATCAGTTTAATTTATATTTAAATTAATTATTAAATCTATTAAAAAATTACTTATCGATCCAGAAAGTCCATGAAGTTTGAAGTGGAACTCCAATACAGTCCTTTTCAGACATTAAAATTTATTGAGATCATCCTCTCTTATCAACATTCTTACAAAATTGTGACTTAAATTTCCTTTTATTATTCTTTATTTCTATTAAATTAGTTAAAACATGAATTTTAGAGTCAAACAAAGGCTAAACTTTTCGTAAGCTCATTAACCCTATCACTGCTGGGGTACTTGAAAACCAGGATATGCTGGGGGGGGGACCCCCGCCCCTAGCAGGAATAGGTTTAACAAAAAGAGTATTTTGTTCTGAAAAAGACTTAAACCCCGTAGATTTTTAGAAAATTATATTCATGATAATCCTAATAGTTTTTATTCTTAGTTAAAATATTCCAAAATCATTTTAAAAATTTCAGTATTTCTTCTCATAAATTTGTTTTCCTGTGTATTGAATTTGTTGATGGTTGACGGGGAGAAGTTGCTGGGGGAGAAGGCGAGGGAGTCTGGCATCAGATCATTCTAGAACATATCAGATCATTCTAGAACATATCATGTCATTCTAGAATATATCAGATCATTCTAGAACATATCAGATCATTGTAGATCATATAATATCATCAGATCACTCTGGAACATATCAAATTATTATACATAGAACATATCGGATCATTCTAAACACATATCAGAACATTCTAGAACATATCAAAATATCGTAGAACATATCAGAGCTGGGAACTTTTGAATGGTGGATATCGGGATTAATGCTTGATCCACTCTTTTTCTTAATCTCGAGATTAAATAATGCTTGTTCTCCTCTTGTTATTAATCTCTAGATTAATTAATCGATCGGGATTAATGATATCCCATTCTAGTTTTCAGCTCAGATTATTCTAGAACACATTAGATCATATCATTCTATTATTCTAGAACAAGATCATTCTAGAACATAAAAACTATTTCAATTATTCAAATTAAATACACGGAACCCTCAGATTTCACTCATTAACTCGTGTACCTACTAGGTTACAGTTTTAACTACCTGCAGTACAGTGTACACATGAATGTTCTTGGGTACATTATACTATACAGATTATTCTGTATTGGAACAGTAAGCAATTGTACCAATTTATGTAGTGGCATGTCCGTTTCACAAGTACAAATTAAACCTTCATCTGGGCATATGATGGGAGTTATCCCTTTTTTTCTAAATTAGCTTTCAGATATATAACAAATGATGGGAGTTATCCCTTTATTTTTAAATTAGCTTTCAGATATATAAAAAATGATGGGAGTTATCCCTTTAAATTAGCTTTCAGATATATAACAAATGATGGGAGTTATCCCTTTATTTTTAAATTAGCTTTCAGATATATAAAAAATGATGGGAGTTATCCCTTTATTTTTAAATTATAACCAAGAAAAAAGTGAAGGAAAGCTAATCCACATTTTTCAATCATAATTACGTCATTTTCCTCATTTTTACTCAGATAGAGGTTTAAATAAAGGTACTGTTGCAAATCTGTTGAAATTGCGCATTGCTTACTTGACTTTCATTTCCCTTGTTTTTATCTTCAAAAACAAACCAAAAAGTTTGTACATAGTACACGTACAATATTAAATGTACAATGTGTACACTACCTGTATCCTGTGTGCTAATGTTTTTTGTAGAACTGGAACTGGAGCCGACATTTTCCCTGAAAACAAACCTTGTACAGTACACAGGGTACGCAGTACATAACCAAACTAAATAATCTCTATTGTACAAGAAAATTGAATTCACCAATTTATTAGGAAACAAGATTGTATCACATGTGCTGTGTATTCACTATTTAGATTTTATTTCAAGTTTACATAAATACATATTCCGCATACTCACTACTCACACATGTTTATTATATTAAGATGAAGAAAATTCGGGTGAAACAAAAACAAGAAATTACTCAAGGATTTAAATCAACAAAGAAATACGATGAACTCCACATTGAAGATGAACTCCTTAAACTACATCTACTCGGACTTCTTCTTCACGTCCTCCTCCTTGTAGTGAAGGAAGATGATGGCGAAGACGAATACGCCGGCCATCATACTGAAGGATGAGGCGTAGTAGGGATAGGCGGAGATAATAAACCTCTCGTACTGGTTGTGGCGGAGAGGGCGGACAGAAACCTAAAAAAATGTCAGATTTAAAAAATAATTTTAAAACTTATCGATATCTCAATGTAATCAAGCTTTGCGCTCACATATACTGGCTCGACATAGCTGCCCAAATGGCTGGAATTTTTGTAGGGAACCCATTGGTATCCCGGGGCTAAAACAATTCAAATCCTTTTCAAAGTGTTTTTAATCCTGGACAACGCCGGTTACTCCAGCTCAATAGGAATTTTATACACAGCACAAATAAGAATTCATCAATACACAATCAACTAATTCTTCAAAAATAATTTTTCCGCAGTATAAACTGATATCCGATTCGGCTGGGATGAATTGCATGTTTTTTTTTCATCATGATCTTTACACTGCAGTACAGTTTACAATGTACTCTTGTAAATCGTCAATGGTGCTCTTGACATGAATAAATAATTCGAAGATGACCAGTTTCAAACATATCAATCAATCAATCAAAAAATCTCGAATGTACAGAGCGTCCAACATCATAATAGATTATCTTCCAAGATTTAACGCTTAAATACGCACATAGTACTAAAAATACCTAGTGTTTTCTGCATGCATATTTTTATGTTAAAAATTTTCTGACTATTCCCGGAAATCGCAATTTAGGGCCAGTAACGATCCGAAATGATGTGGGACACCCTGTACATAGGGGTAAATCTACTAAAACAAGGTATCAACTCCTCTTGAAGCCCAGACTGGAATAAATTTAACACCGTAATGGCTTCATTACCTGAGTAGTGGTTTGTACCCTGGTGAATCCTAGTCTATGATGATTAACTCTGAACTGATAAACTCCGTATACATCAGGAATCTTGAACTGGGTGGAGATCAATCCGTTCTTGTTCGACATGGTGGCACGCACAAAGGGATCAATCCTCACGAACTCAACCTGATTTAAATAAAAATTAGAGATCTAGGAGAAGAATGCATCAGCCGAGCTCTGAAATGTTAAGCATACAATTTTCTTTTGGAGACAAATATAGTTTAATCCTATGTTCTCTTTTAACTTCTTGAGACCTTCTATTTAATAAACAAAATTTAAGAATTGAAAACCCTGTTACAAAAAATATCTGAACCTGTACATCAGTGCCGGAGTAAGGAACCCAGACTCCGTTCTTCTTCTCCTTGATACTGATACTGAATTCGACCAACTCCCTGATCGTGTAGAAATCAGGAGGAGAGGATTCTCCGACGAGATGATGGTTGGTATATTCAACCTTTAACACTCCACGCTCTTGGAAACACCACAGACTCATCATCTTTGTAAACTCAGCGTTTCCGGTCGGGCCGGAGCCTATCTCGGCTGTGAAGAATTCATCGGAGAAGAATTCCAGAGATCCGGAGAAGATAACTCGAGCATTGTTTCTGGCTTGGAGTCCGGCGATGAGAACTGTGTTCTTCCCGACAGCATGAGGATAGTCTCGGATAGGTTGCTCCGGGTTGTGTGAGTAAGATGAGGAGGAACCGGTTAGAATCTCGAGAACAAGAGGATTTTCCGGGTCCGCTAGGATACCAGCTCCTCGGTACAGTAGAGGAGACTTAACCCCGCCTGTGATGAGGTCGGATTTGATCAAGTTCTTGGACTCAGAGACAACGAGAGTGTGGTGGCCGGTATCCTTGGCGTCGAAGTTCAGGTGATCGATGACGTATGTTCCTTCTTCGTCGACTTCAAATCCACATTCAGAGGCAATCTCGCGCAGCACCTCGCCGGTATTAGAGTTTCCGGCAATAAGAAGGTTTCCACCGTCGTCGACGAATTCGGTCATGGCCTCGACACTCAGGGCACCGCCGAATTCTTCGACGGTCGGAGCAAAAACGACGATGTTATCAAACAAATATTCACCGTACTTCTTAAGGACTAGGTTAGAATCATCAGCCACCTTAAAGGTCAGAGCGAACCCCTGATCTGTCAGAGTTTTGAAGAACATGGAGTGGGTTTCCTTGACGGCCAGGTTCTCTAGGAGTGCTAAAACCCTTTTCTCTGCGGAGATATGAGATATACAGATCCCAAGGAAGAAGATGGAAAAAGAAATTCTCCCCATTTTGTCTGTAATAAGATAGTAGGATTGATTTTGAGTAAAAAAGATTTGTTTGAGGTTTTAGTTAGAGATATATTTGAAAACTTTAACATAATCACAAAATGTAAATGAAATTTCGAAATTGTGGCCGCAGCGCCCTGCCCCCAAATAAATTTGATAATCCGAGTCATGACGTTGACAATTCTTTATAACGTCGACGTCGCGTAACTATCAAAATAATGTTTCTGATCGCTTAGAGCTCAGAAAAACAGTTAAACTATTTGAAAATTTTATTGAAATTATTAATATCTTAATTTACGGCTTGAAACATTATATGGGTTAACAATTATTTACATTTTTGTTGATTTATTTCTAAATTGCTTTTATTCAATTCATCGGAAAAACTCTCAGCCAATGAGAGACAACTAGGTAACCAACTTATCAACCAATGAGAAGGAAGCGCTCTTGCCGCGGCACACTCTCAACTGATTTTCTTTAAATCAACTAAGCAAAAGACGTTAATCAGAAATTTTCTAAAATTTTATGTTTGGTTAAAAAATCTTTATGAACATTGACACGCGCGTGGACTGGGGCCTGAGGCGGGGGTATTAGTCCTCTTGCCCCCCTCAGGCGTCTCGAAGGGATGGCAGGACCCCCTGCGATATGCAAAGGTTAAAGTTACGTGTGGTAGGTAAATAAAGAGCTTGGCCCCCATCTTCCGAGGGATGTTTCCCCCTTAAAAAGTAGTTGAAAATTTTCAGGAGACTAATCAGAGAGTAATACAGAACCATACAGAGGGATACATTATAATTTAGAGTTTTGAATCGGGACTGCAGTGGACTGAAAGGGGAGTGTCTCAGGAGACTACTCAGGACTTCAGGGAGTAATACGTAGATACTATAGGATGAATAGGATACGCTATATTATAGTCCTTGAATCGGGACTACAATGGGTACATAGAATTTTTAAGGCCAAGGGGGGGACAGGACAAAAAATTCCCCATCATCCTCCCCGGATATCCTGTCTACGCGCTTGAACATTTAACTCAATAAATTCGATTTTGAGACGTTTGATTTAAAAGTTTAACTACGAGTTTTAAATCTTAAGATTTTAATAATTGTGGCTTGTAAGTTCAGAAATGTATGTGAGGCTGAGCTTACAATTAAGACTATGCAGAAACCTTTGAATCTCAACTCACTGTATATTATTCAGGGTTGGGTGTACCCACAAAGGAGGATACAATGACGACCAACAATATAACAGAGTAGGGTTAATTTTGGTCAGCTGTATATAATTTACTCATCTAACGATACACATAATTTAGTTGGAAAAGAAAGTAACATGCATAAAACTGCTGGGAACAACCTGTATGAATGAAATCCGAACAGTCGTCTATTCTCATCCTTCGTTGCATGTAACCCTGTATAAAATAACATATTTAACATGAACGAACCAAAAACAGAATATTTGCTAAAGATTTAAGTTGTTGTAAGTAGATCCTAAGAACATATTTGTTATGAAACATGTTTCATTCCAATTAATCAAACTATAGAATATATATACAATAACAATAAATACAGATCTATTTCTTATAAAACATAAGCAATATGTAAAACATATGTATTAGGTAAAACATATTTCATACCTGTTTAATACAAAATATCTTAAAAACTTAAAAATGAAACTTATTCTGCTCTATAAAACATATTTAATGAAAAAATACAAATAATTAAGACATTTCTTAAAAAACATACAGGGTGTCCCACGAAACATGACAGTTGGTAAATAGTTTTAAAAGTCGTCTTTCATAGTTTGTAAAGTTGTTTAATACCAAAGAGAATAATAAAAAATATTATATACCAGTCACATTATAGTAAAATTGATTTCAAAGTAAAAAATAAAAGATTTTTAAATCAGAATAAACTCCAAAACTTCTATAATTTGTAATACTGCAATGGAAAAAGACATTCAAAACTATTCAAATACTGTCATGTTTCGTGGAACACCCTGTATTTGATATGATACAATGTATGTATTAATTAGGTATAATGAATATTGTTTAATATATGTTGGTTGATATGTCATATTTCCTGCTAAATAGATATTTAACAAAAGTTTAATTATATATTGTAGTCACAACTCACAATATACAATTTTCACTCAAGATTTTTAAAACGTAAAAAATAAGAATTGATAACTCGCCTCAAGCTCTAAATTCCTAATCTGCATTATATTCTTGCGTCCTTAATTGATCTATTGCAGAATTTATTGGTCTAAAATCAAATTTCTACGAGACCAGGTTTCAACGAAATAAGGATTAGAAAATTTGAATTAAAGAAAATAATCAGATCCTGTGATATATCTGTCAATTTTTTAAATTTACAAGCTGTAATTGACCATTTTCTGAAAAGCTCGGAAATCATCAAATCACCTAAAGAATCCGAAGAAGACGACAGTAACAGAAAACTTGGGAATCTATTTCAAGAATATTGAAACAGAGGTTAAAACTTTTGTATCGGTAATCCCTTAAAAAATCTCTAATATTTTGTAATCTGATGGATTAAGTATAAGGTCATAAAAATGAAGCACCTAATTCCCTCAAATTAGAGGTTTCCGGTTCAGATATTTAAATCAGGATGCATGTTGTAGATAAGCGCTATCTGAAACAAAAGTTCCGGTCTCAGGTGGAATCAATTTCATCTTATAAATTGGTAATCCCACTTCCCAGGCCCCTATGTCTGCCTGTCTTCTATGTATATCAATAATTTTGTAGTGATTAAACCGATTGGCCTAATATTTGTAAAGTGACCTCAAATGACCCCAGAATTGGCTGATGACCGACCAGCACTGTGCAAATTAGGCAGAAAAAGTAGGTCAAATTCAGTGGCGGATATAAGGGGGGTTATTGGGGTTATTTACCCCCCCCTAGAATCCTGGGGGTAAATACCCCCCCCTAGAATCCCGGGGGTAAATACCCCCCCCTAGAATCCTGGGGGTAAATACCCCCCCCTAGAATCCTGGGGGTAATTACCCCTGAACATATATTCAGGCCCTGAATAGCAGGGG